CCAGAACACATCGTTTCTTCTTCGCAAATCCAATCAGGCCATGCCCCGCCCGCACGCAAGCATACATTGAAGTAGGCGCTTCCACCATCCTCGCCCAGTCCTTTGCATCAAGGCAGACGTGGAGAAGGATTTCGAAGCCTTCAAGGAGGCCGGGGTGTCTGTCTTTGGTCGTCATTGGATTGTTTATACTTCACACGATGGTTGCGTTGGTTGGTTGCGCTGGTTGTGTTTCTCTCCGGTACTGTCGCGGCTCGTGTTCTGCTTCCTATGTTTCTTGGTTCTGCTACTGTTCCTGCTGCGAGGAGCTACTTGTGCAGACGAATGCTGCTGCAACTGCGACTACGACGATGACTGCCATTGGTGGTCATAGAAGCCAGTTCTCGTCGTCATCATCATCGTCGTCGTTACAATCACCATCATCGTCGTCATCACCACAATTATCCTCTTCATGCGTTGTTGCCCAGTCCCGTCAATGCTCCAGCTCGGATGGAAGTGGCTTTACAGTGCCGTATATGCACCCTCGCCTAATTTTTCAAACCTAGACTCAGAGTCTTAGTCCTCTTGGCATGCAGGAGTGCCTGGGCCGAAAGCTGCGTGAGAAACAGGAAGAGCAGCTTGGCTGCAGCTTTGCGTTTCAGGAGCGTGTAGCACTTCCTGCTTGGCCCCTCTGCTGGAACGTGCAATAGCTTAGGTTTCACCAGATCCTTGCACCCAGGGCCCTCGCCATGGCTTTCAAGTCCTCAAGCCATGTCAGCCATGCTTTGAAAGTCTTGCCATGTGCCATTGCCGAGGCACGAAGCTCTGCTCACCAAGCAGGCCCATGGCAACTTCTAGAATCTGAATATGAGATGAGACAAGATCAGAAGCAGGACGCGAACTGGTCGGCCGTGGTAGTCGTAAGAGAAATACGTGCTATCTGCCTCAGGCTTAGTCATACGAGTTGGTTCTTCAAATCTGGAGTGGAAGTAGCGAGCTCTCAGCCGGATCAAAGTGGGATTCAGGGTATGCTGGCTTGGAACTTCGGAGGACAGAGGATGGTCAGCAAGAAGTGCCATTCTGAGAGGTTTCTGAGCCTCTTTGCCCATAGGACCTGCCCTGAGAATAGCTCTCAATCTACCACCTCCATTTGGCTCAAGTTCCCGGCTGTTCCTGTTGGCCACAGACTGCTCTTGTCGGTGAAACCGTTGCTGCATTCCGAGCCTCCAATCGTCGCGCGCTTCATGTTGGCAGGGTGAGGGGAAGGTTCGATTGATGCCTGAATTTGCACAGAAGCTAGTGGCACATCCAATAAGGTGAACCAATGCGAATCAGATTCCTAGTCTAGCGCGATACTCCTGTTAGTCCTAATAGCGACTGCTGACGAACAACAAATCATGATTCCAGGGGAATAGCAAGAGCCAGCCCTGCTAGAATCGTAATAGTGAGCACGTGGCTGAGCTCATAGCGAAAACCGTTTTTGTGGCGTTTCAACACTAGTTGCGATGCACTGCTCCTGCTCCTACTACTACCACCACCACCACGACGACGACTACTACTACTACTACTACCACCACCACTACTACTACCACCACTACTACCTCGTGCGGGCATTCCAGAACCGCTTTCGTTGAAAGTCATTTTGGTAGTTTTGGTCCTATTGGTAATTATTGATGTGTTTTTTTGGGTGGTGGGCAACATGACGCATCATGGGTAATCTTGGACCACTTACACAACTGGCACCACTTGTACCTGCACCAGTTGCAGCACTTGAACCACTTGCACCACTTGGCTTTCGCTGCATCTGCCCAGGAGCGGGCACCACTTGCACCACTCTACCACTTGCACACCAAGATTACCAAAATGACGCGTCATTTTGCCCTACTACTACTACTACTACTGCTGCTACTACTACTACTACCACTACTTCTACTACTTCTACTACTTCTTCTACTTCTACTACTTCTACTACTAGTGCTACTGCCCCTGTTGCTGCTGTTGCTAGTGCTACCACTCCCTAGTACTTCTTGTTCTACTTTTGCTACTACCACTACTGCTACCACCACTACTATGGTCACCACTACTACGACCACTACTATTGCTTCTGTCGACGACGACTCGTAATGCTACTAATGGTAGAACTACCGCACCATCGCTCAACGCTGCTGCCGCTGCTTGTAGTGCAACAATGAAGGCCACGTAAATCCTGTTGTTGTTGCTTCCCATGCTCGCGTGGCTGCTGTCACTGCTGCTTCTCTGTCGAGTCTACTCCGTCACAAGAAGACTTATCTGGAACGAGAAGGGAACAGAATCATCAAACAACTGCTGGTGCTGCTTCTGCCGCTACTGCTATGATAACCAGTGCTACTGCCACTAGCACCAGCGACACCGGCAGCACAAGCACACGCAACGCCAGCAGCACCACCACCTGCACCACCACCACCACCACCACCGCTGCCGCCGCCGCCGCCGCCGCCGCCGCCGCCGCCGCCACCGCCACCGCCACCGGCACCGGCACCGGCACCAGCACCAGCACCAGCACCAGCACGACCAGCACCACCAGCAGCCACCAGCAGCCATCAGCAGCCATCAGCAGCCATCAGCAGCCATCATCATCATCATCGTCATTATCATCATCAACATCATGATCATATTCAACATAATCATTGTCGTCATCACCGTCATCTTCTTGTTCATCATCATCATCCCCCCCATCATCATCGTCATCGCCATTACCATCACCATCACCATCACCAACATCCATCCTTCATCATCAGCATCATCACCATCTTCATCAACATAGCCGTCATCATCCGTGGCCATCATCGTCATCACAATCACCATCGTCATCATCATCACCATCATCACCGTCATCATCATCACCATCACCATCATCACCATCACCATCATCACCATCATCACCACCACCACCATCATCTTCATCATCACCATCATCACCAGCATCATCATCACCATCATCATCTTCACCATCATCATCACCATCACCATCTTCATCCTCTCATCGTCGTCATCATCAGCATAGGCATCCACATCATCATCATCATCATCGTCATCATCATCATCACCATCATCAAGATAACCATCGTCACCGGCATCAGCATTAGCATCATCATCAGCGTCATTTTCAGCATCAGCATCATGACCGTCGTCATCGTCTTCGTCATCGTAATCACCATGACTATCAGCATCGTCACCATCATCATGATCAACGTCACCGTCATCATCATCATCATCATCAACATCCTCATCACCATGACCACAATCATCATCTTCATCATCACCATCGTCATCATCATCATCATCACCATCATCATCATCATCACCATCAAGATCACCATCGTCGTCGGCATCGGCATTAGCATCAGCATCAGCATCTGCATCATCAGCATCAGCATCATTTATATCATCAACATCATGGCTGTCGTCATGGTTTTCGTCATCACAATCACTATGGTCATCGTCATCATCATCAGCATCAACGTCATCATCATCATCATTATCATTTTAATCATCATGTTATTCTTCGTGTTCATCGTCGTCATCACCATGCTCATCTTCATCTGCATCGTCGTCGTCATCACTATCCTCAACCATGTTACCTCGACTAGCAAGACTATGTTTTGCCAATTCGTGTAACTGTTGTTTGTCGCGTTCTTACTAGACCATTTCTTGCCATCGTCCACCCGCATCGCTCGAGGCCCCATGGCGAACACTTCAACGAACTCCACCGCGGTAGTCCCAAGTGAGCAAGAGCCGGAGAAGCGCCCTGCGGCTTGGATGTCCGCCTGCAGGACCCTCTTCGCGGGGTTGAGATGCATGTCGTGGCTGGGGTTATCTTCAGGGCCAAAGTTGGCGAAGCATTCGACTTGAACTCTTTTCCGCTTGTGCAAGGACCCCGAGCGAGCCAGGAAGCCCAATCTGCCACACCACCCACCATCAGGTCGCTCAGGCACGGGCTTCGGGAAGCTTGGGGGCAACTTTAATGCAAGAGGGCTGCCAAGATTTTTGGTGGATGTTCCACTTCTCACGACATTATGTTGCTGCTGCTGCTGCGATTATGCTGCGTCTTTGTTGTCACAAAGATGACTGCAGCACGTGTCCAGTGTTGCTTTCGTCTCCATGCTGGTGTTTGTTGCTCAGTTCCGGTGATTGCGTCGAGAGCAGAACCTTTTTTCGCGGCTTCTTTCCTTCGACTCCTGTATCGTTACGCTTTCACTGCTGCTGCTTGTGCTCCTGCTGCTACCGCTGCTGCTTCTCCTGCTGTTCCTGCTGCTGATGCTGCTGCTGTTGTTGCGAGTGTTCCATTGTGGTTGTGGTGGTTGTGATGCGTGGCCATATTTGACTGTTTCCTTGTGTGGTCATTGTCGGGGTGTATGTTGTTGTATGTTGTTGTATTGTAGTCGTCGTTGTCATCGTGACAGGCCATTCTTATGACTTTAGTTATCGTGGCGCGTGTCAGCACCCCATTTCTTAAGCTTGGGTTTGCTCCTGTCCGATGCCTGCGGCATACGGTGCCTGACCTGGTGGTCGTTTAATTAATCATGATGATGATGATGACGATGATGACAACGATGATGATGATGATGTTGCTGTGGATCGGGGCTGGCACGGCCAAACTGCAAATTAACTTCAAAGCTCCTAAACCCTCAGCCCTCTATGGCCCTCAAGGTGCAGGGCCCCGATGGTCACGGACAGTGGTCATGGAAGCCGGATGCACCGGAGCCTAGGCTAGCTTCAGAACTGATGTGGTATACTCTTGATGGAATATTCTCCAGCAGTGTTCGTCTCACTTTCGTGATACACGATCTGAAAGTTTTCAGTGTATGTGCAGAGGAATGTATAGATATCTCTGATCTCTCTCTCTCTCTCTCTCTCTCTCTCTCGCTCTGCACAACTGTATGTGCGCATCTATATGCTTATCTAATTGCTATCCATCCATACGCCATTCCTCGGTTATGCATATAAACAAATCTGAACACGTCTAGAGAATTTCCCCGCTTCCCATGCCTGGGGGAACTGAGGAATTCGTGCCCCACACCAACAACATGGGCACTGTGGCCAACAACATGGAGATGCCAGGTCCGGTGATCATGATGATGGAGGCACCTCCCTGCTTTATGGTGGGAGGCTGGGTTATGGCCCCGAACTCCGATCAGAGTGGAGGCTGTAACGAGGCGCAGAACAGCAACAAGACGTACACCGAGGAGCAAGAGTCGGGAGACAGCAGAGTGATGGAGCTGCAAACTCAGATCGAGAACATCCGCTTCACACATGAGAAGGAGAAGCAAGCCATGAAGAGGCAGGTTTCGGGTCAAGAGTTTAGGACCCCTTAGAAGAAAACATCAAGTCGTTTCCCTGGTGCCGATCCGTTTTGCTCGTGTTCGAACCCCCACGCCCCATGCCACCCCTGAACCACAAAGCCAGGCAGATCCAAGCCTACCAGAAGATCCTAGACCGCTACGACATCCCCCGGGAAGAGGCCGATGCCATCATCCACCACCTTGATGCCTCCGAGGGCTCCTCTACTTTATGGGATTTAATAAAGTTTTCTTTTTTCTGTTTGAATGGGGTACGACATGGTTTGAAGGTGTGTCGGCTTCAAGGGTCAAGAGGGTAACGATTTGGGCTTGTATGGCTTAGGTTTCCGCTTTGGGTCAGGGCTTGTCGGCGAGGGCGAGAGCTAGCAGCTAGCCTTCCCAGGATATTGGATTTCGTTTTTGCCACACTTCCTCCAGCTTCTGCTCGATATCAAAACCCGAGCCGCAAATTTTAGGAGACCCCATCCTGAGAGCACCCTGGAAGCCTGAAGCCATAGTACCTGAAGCCCGCAAACCCCAAGCCTAGGCTCCAACGTGTCGAACATGGCGACCACGTGGTGGTCGGGCATGGCCACCGATGTTAGCAGCACGACCATGTGACCTGGTCCAAGGGTCGTTCGATGGCTTCCTCTGCGTTCGAGGGCTTGTCTTGGATCTTCAAAGCAGCAAGGTGCGTAGGGTAGCCATCTGATCACTGATACTGGTTCCCGTTTGGCTTGCCAAATCCGAAAATCACTGGAGCTGAGGCCCATGGATGGCATGATGGGAGGAGAGCAGTGGGACATGACGACTGATCAGTCCGTGGAACCTCGGCATCGTTAAAGGGAAGGCACGAGCGTTTTTCCCTTGTGAGTCAGTTACTGCGATAGGAGATGGCTCAGCCTAGGTAGTTAGTGCAAGTAGTCTGACAAGTTCAGCAGTGCTTTGGTTCCAGCCTGCCCGCCCTGCCGTCCGACGACTCTGCAGAATCTCACCGTATCTTATCCATGGCATCTGATCACGTGAACGGTGAACGACGCTCCAAGCCGAGGAGATCTCGAACCAGCCGAGCCCAGGGAGTGCCAATGGAAACACCTCGAGCACCAAGACCATTGCCTCGGAACTCCAGGCCAGCACCGGTTGGGTTTAGGGCTTTGGGCCCCTTCAGGACTTCTACGGCGGCGTCTCGAAACTTCGAGGGTTTGGGGTTTGGGGGGTCCTGGCTTTGAGGATTCTGCGGCTTCGCTCGGGATTTGAAAGGAGGTCGTTGCCTCGGACGTCGGAACTCGGGGAGCTTATGGATGTAGGGAGGGTTTGTCAGGGGGGTGAGCAGAGGCAGGGCTTCAGGCCTTTGAGGGATCGAGCTGTCGCTTTGCAAATCTTTGCAGTTTTGGGTTTCCAATCATGTCAAGGACGAAATTTCAGGGTTCTCTGGACAGTTCAGGCAAAAGCGCACTCGGACCGACTCGGCTTTGGGACTGGCTTTTTCTGATGGGGCCGGGCCTGGCCATTTGCCCAAGGCTTTGCATTCTGCTCCAAAACGCGCACCGCTCGAACCAGGTTGCTAGCTGGAAGCCCCTGATCCCTTGCACTGCTGGGCTGAAAACTTCCATTCCGCAAACGCGAACCGTGAGAAGCACCGGAAAAGCTGCCGAAATCCCTGTAGTCGACTCGTTCGACACCGCAGGACCCAAGCGACCGAAACTGAATATCTGAATATCCCAATCTAAAGTCCCAAATCCTCCCAAAATAAGGCCCGAACACCTAAGCCAAGCGGACTCACAACCCTGTCGCAGGCCCTGCTCCCACATGCCAAGGCATGGTTTTTGTTAGGGTATTTTGGGTTTGATTTGGGGATTCAGGGTTTGTACCTCAGCGCCTCGGGGAGGTTGGGAGAAGATAAGTTGGATGCTTCGGACCGGGAGGAGTTCAAGGGTTTGGGTCTAAGCCTCGAGAGTGTAATCTACTAGTCAAGATGCTCCATATGCTCCGGTCCTGCCCCCGCTACCAGCTTCCCCCCAACCCCAGTCAGAGTGAACGGTTGCGGGGCTCGAAGGGGTCAGTACTTCCAGCCTTGTCCATGTCTTTTGTTAACCTGAAGTCCCTTGAGCCGCGTCGGATCTCGTCGGTGTCGTGGCCCAGGTCCGATGCAGCAACGGGGAGTCGGAGACGCCAGAGTCTAGAACCCCAATGCCTACACCGACCAGCTCATTGAATGAGGAGGTCGAGAAGCAAATGTTCAGCCTAGAGCAGATGGTGAACAGCAAGCTCGATGACCGCGCGTTGATGTCTCTGAAGAGGTTGTCACCGATTGACGGCAAGGAGGCCCTGCGCAAGGTCCAGGAAGTGATCGAGTTCCAAGGGGGCAAGTGCCACAACCTGTCCTCTATGCTTCAGTCCGTGTGCCGTAAAATGGAGAAGCGCGCGACGCAGACCAAGTGAGCACAGTAGCAACAAGATTTTGACAACCCTTTGAGCGACTTCGGCTCCAGAGGCAATTGTGCCCATTTGGATGGTTGCCAACGCGCACCGGCAATGTTTTGACCAGTGAACATTTGCCTAGCTGAGCTGAATCGGTGATTTTAGGCGACAGAAGGGTCCGCGGTCCTTGCTGCGCAGTAAAATTGAAAAAGGTCGCTGGCTACTGTAGAGGGCGTCTTGAGCTTTTGTGGGTCTTTTGCAGCAATCTCACCAAGGCCCCAGGCACCTGAGGCGGATGAGCTTGTTTCTTGCTTGCCGTTGACGAAGACTCCACGGAAAGTCATATGTGTGAGCCATGTGCACATAGGAGCTGGAAACTCGATCCGCGTGCGACCGACAACGCCAGTTCGAAACCTTTTTGCCCGACCTATAACAATAATTCCAGCCCATGTTTTGGCTTTTTGAATCCTCGTTGAACTAAACAGGCTGTGCGTGTCCTGTGAGAGAACGAAGCATTTTGCATGGTGAGTTACTTCTAGGTCCCTGCTCGTTCACGTATCTGCCCACCACCGGACATGTACTGACCCCCTTTTGGGAAATGTCTAAAGACAGGTCCATGATGGTCTAATTTACGCTTTTTGTCGACTAGTCCGATACAACTTACTCATAGTCGTCGTGTCTCGACATACAGCATGTAGCGAAAACTTGTTCTAGTCCTTTCGGGACCGATCTTATCAAACCATGACCGGAGTGTGAACGCCACGGAACATCGGTTACGCTTGTTAGACTGGTGACTTGCACACACATGAGTTACATGACCATCAGGATCCATGCGACCGTAAGGTTGCCTTCTCTCCAAGTTTGTTCTGTCACGTGCATTTTAATGCCCAGCCCCCGCACACTGCACACCTAAAGTATCCGAAACCGAGTCCAAAAACCGTTGATCTAGCCCATCAGCCGGAGTCCAATACGTATCCAAGGACCTCTTCTCGTCCCTTAGCTCTAAGCTACTGACCCCGCAACATCCCATCCAAGTACATCATGCAATATCATGCATCCTCCGCTTCTTCTCGAGCCACCAACTCTAAGCTTCAAGCCCAAAGCCGGAAGTTCCAAGGTCCAAGGCAAGTAAACCCTGAATCCTCAGCGCTGAGGTCGAAGGCTCAAAGCCCCGGTCTTAAGTCCTACAAAGGCCCCCGAAAGCCACAACGGACGCCCTGCAGCCCTGCAGGCCGAACTCGAGGCCCGGCGCGGAGAGCTCCTGGAGGAGGCGCTGTGAAAGTAGGCGAAGGGGATGAGGCACTTTGGTGATGGCGAGAAGAACATCGTTGGGTTCGTCGTCATAGTAGGAAGGAGAAGAGAACATGTCTTAGCAGAAAGTGTGCCATCATGGAAGGTAGTTATGCGGCAAATAGATAGTCAGATAGTCATGCATTTGACGACATTGGCATTTGAGGACAGAATCGCAAGCTAATGTGTGTCACATTCGGGCCGTCGCGTGCAATCCATGCCATTCTTTCCGCTCCAGCCTTCTTGCCCAGTCCGGCCCTGCATCCTCTCTAACTTCCGCCCCGCGCTTCTAAGCCATGGCCTTGCCTATGAAGAAGACCGTGATGAAGGCAATGAAGTCTGCGGCCATGAAGGCAAAGGCCATGAAGGGAATGAAGGCCGGCAAATGCAGGGGCATGTTCTTGTTGAAGCTCGCAGCGGTTGCAAGCTTGGTTTTCAGAGTTCTCAGGTGATGAAGAAGAAAGCCATCAGCAGAATCGCTCGGGGCAAGCTGGCGAAGGTGGCTGTCTTCCAGGGTCGCAAGGAGATCCGACTTGGTGACGTGTTACAGAATATCGAAGCGAGTAAGTAACCTCGCTGCAGCAGTGTGCCGTAGGGGTGCTTCGCCTTCTGCAAACCTGCTTCACACATGGGCTGCAGTGAGGAGAAGACCGCGACGGGTCTCCAGAAGACGCACCTCATGAAGAATAAGCACGGTAAGGCGAGGTGATGATAGGAGTCGAACCTATGGGACCAAAACTGAAAGCCTGGGTAAGATCGTCATCGAGAGTGTTTTTCTGGTTTCAAGATGTTTAAAAACGGCCACGCATCACCAGGTGGTGACCAAGAAGAAGCACGCCAGCGGCAAGCTGTTCCAGAAGTTGGGGCAGAAGTGGATCAGCGCGGTGATGACTGCGAGAAAAGAGCTGGGCATGAAAGGCTTTTGCGCGGTAGGCGGCAAGAGTGCTCAGGGCAAGGCGCTCTATGCCAAGGCCAAAGCGCTTTATGCAGCATGAGCGTGACGGGACTCGTCTGCTTTCGTGGTAGTTCACGGAGCAGGCGGTCTTCACGTTAGCCACAGCTGCAGGGGGATGTACAGCTGATCTTGTGCTCTTTGAGATCGTGGTGCCTCTCTCGGCCTTCAAAAGTCATTTTATAACCGCGCTTCTCGTCCTTTGAGGTCTTTTGGGCCAAGAGAGCCAAATCCCGAGACTCCCTGGGCCTCGCAGGCGCAGAAGCTGGACCGCGAAAGCCAGGCCGCTTGGGAGTGGGAGCCGATGAACCGAATAAGGCTGAAGAAACACCGGGAAGGTTCATCGTATGTCCAGTATCAACCGTGTCTTTGGATGTTTTGTTATAAGTGGTAATCACGATAGCGACTCGTATGTCCAATTATGTTACGAAAGCATGACAGGGTCATGTCTTGGCTTACAAGCTTGGCAACGTCTAAGTTTATCATAGCAGGACCGAAGACCACCTTAACTCAACCGCCCACGCAAAGATCGCCGATGCTTGTCCTTCGACGTGCCGTCATCATCATTATCATCATCATCGTCATCATCATGATCAGTAGTCTGGTTAATTTTGCTCTTCATTAGTCTAGCTTAGTTATTGAATATATTTTACCATTAGTACTGTTGTCCTTGACTTGTCATGGCTATCGTTAGTGCTAAAAAATTCTAAAGCCTAAACCTTAAGCCCTGAACCTTGAACATCCAGCTGAACAACCATGCTCAAGCCTTTTCCACGAAGCAAGCATGAGCATCTCCTCGCAAGTACCCACTAGCTTTCGAGCGCAGATCGGCGTCATCAGCTTCAGCGAGAAGCAAATTCGTGTTTGCTTCAGATTCAGGTTGCTTGCTTCGTGTCCTGACTTTGCCGCCAGACAAACCGCTGAAATATTTGTCTGGATGCTACGAGAAGGTGTGCTCAGCTCCAGACTATGGTAGCGGAGTTCTCAAGGACTCTTGCTTGCTATGGCCTTCGCTTGAATCCGCAGAAATGCCAACTGTATTGCACTCCCCATGTGGCTGGCGAAAACTCGGTTCATGTCGGAGGGCATGAGGTCAGGGCATCACCAGCACTACTGATTGTGGACACAGCTATGCCGTTGGTACACGACTTTGTGGCGCCTCCGGCAACCAGGGCTCGTGCCGAGTTTTGGGAATGCAGGAGTGTCCTCCGATCTCGTGCTTCTATGACAGAGAGGGCGCGCACCGTCCAAAGGGTGGTAGGAATATCGCCTGCTTTCCACCCGACAAAGCCACCATGAGCCTCCTGGATAGCACCCAACTCCAACTGATGGTCTGGCTCCTCCGATTCGCCAAAAAGGAAATCGGGGGAGAGCTGGGAGGGTTTCAGACAAAGGACTTTCGTGGAGCCCGGTCAACCTTGCATGCTGCGGGGCTCTCAGCGATGGTCGACACCTTGGCTCCGACTATCTTGGCGGTATGTCGGTCATCGAGTTCGAGAGATGCTGCTTCCCTCCTTGTAAACAAAACGTAGACAGAAAAACGAGGGAGTGGAGTGAACCCTCCCTTCCTCACTTCCCTCCGCCTAACTCCTTAACCACCATCCTTTCACGGATCACTGCATGTGCGGGCAAGTGGAAGCTGGAAGCTGCTGGCCATTCCTGGTAGACATTTCTTGCTGGAGGGAAGGTCTGTCGCCTGATGCAGCGCGACCTGGCTCCAGGCATTCTAGCGCTCACAGTGGCCCCCGCCATGCTCCCAAGGATTCCATATTTCATGTTAGCGGCTTGTGCTTCTCCGTGAAGGGCTGGGTACCGCCGCTCTGCGCCTTGATGGCCACCCCTTCATGACCCAAGGCCTTTTGGCCACGGTGCAAGGTCGTGCACTGATGATATCGTTCTTTCAGGAAGAACCTAGCATCGAATTCTTTTCCCCGAAGCCTCGCTCTTCTTTGCCGGAATGCTGTCCTCAGGACTATGTGACTCGGCGGGAGCCCGACCCCCTGGGCTTCTTCATGTACATGATCAGCCCCTTCCTCACGGCAGCGCCCAAGTTCCCTCGGAAAGTTGTTCCTGAGATGGCTACATGTCTGCCTCAGACGCAGCCACAGTCTTTGGCGGGAGCACGACCGCCAGGACCCCTCCCGCTACATTATTCGGGCCTTTGACATGGTGACCCTTGCCGATGAGCCCAGCGAAGAGGAAGGTGCTGCCGCCGTGCTTATGCAGGGAGAGCCACCTGGGCCCTTTGACCCCGCCCAGGGTTTGCAAGACTGGATTTCGGACAGGGTGGTTGAACTTCAGCCGGTCTTTGAAAGTCACTAGGCTGCTGGGCTCAGTGAACACTTGGAAGCTTGGCTCCTGCAGCACGGCCGACCTTTTACAGTATTGCCGACGTCGCTGTGGGATTATTTGGGAACTCCTTGCTGACGGGGACCCGGCACGGCAGTTCATCGGCGGTAACCCTTACAGCACTCAGATCATGGTGCTTTGACGTTGGAATCTCACCTCGGCTCCACTGCCTCTACACTTCTCCAGCCACAAGCACAACCTACGCATGTTGTCTTGAGGCGACCCGTGCAGGACTTCAGCAGCTGTGGATGGAGTCGCGCCGTGATGAGTCAACTTCAGTGTCTTCGCCTTCATGGCACGGGCTGGGAAGACGCTTTCGTGCGGGTGATCAGGCGCATCGCCCACAGGAATGAACCCGGCTATTTTCGGTGGGCCCAGCGCTACTTCAAGCCTGTCAGGATGAGTTCGAGCGTCATTTGCGCCCTGAGGAGCTCGCCGAGGCTGATGTGGGCTGGGCTAACCGGGTGGAAGAGGCCGCGTGGCAGGACTGTGTGCACAATCTACGCACAGTCGATGCGCGGGGACCAGCTCTAGTGTTTCTGGACTAGAGCGCAGCAGGTCGCCTGTGCGGCCAGCAGCAACACTCGTGGGCTGCGAGGTGACGAGTCGGGAGACGTACGCCGAGAAGCTCCAGACAGGCCCTAGATGCCCTGGCGGTTTCGACGTTGGATGATGCGGTCGACTGTGGAGGCACTTGCCCGGCTTTCATGCATGTGGGTGCAGGGCCCCCGATCAGTATCCAGGAGCGCAGTGTCCTTGCCCCGAGCCGCGAGGACCAGATCCTCGCCGTGCTTCGGGCCGTGACTGTGCAGCAGCAGGTGTGGATAACGTTGGGACTTGTGTCTCTGTCGAGGTTGACCTGGAGCCGTCGGGTGAAGAAGGCGGAACTGGCCTGATGCAGACTGGAGTGGTGACAAGCCTGCGTACTGCGTACAGTTGCACCTGATCACTGGCCGATGCTTCTTCTTCGCCTCCAGCGTGAACTTGCAGGGGTGGCCAAATGTCTGCGGCGGGGCTGCGTTGCACGCCTACGAAGAGGGCTCATTGGAGCGATTCATAAGTGCATGGCGGCAAGGCAGACCAGCTTCTTGCCCTCTTGGCTGTGATGGATGATGACGAAGTGGAAGGGGTGCCAGTCCGAGTCACACATGTCGACAGCCAGACCGCGGGTCACGACCAGGCGATCGAACGGCTCGCAGCCGATGAGTGGGAGTTTTCAGCCGAGCAAGAACGGTTGAAGCTACAGCGTGAACAGGAAGAAACGGCAGCTTGTGTGGCGGCAGAGGAGTACTCTGCACACATGCAGCTGTGCGCTAGGAGTGGGAAAATACAACGGTTCAGCATGCTTTGACCCAGCCCTCGCCTCGCCCTACCCAGAACGCTCGACGAAGGTGCCAGCGGACGGTTGAGGTGGCAAGTAGCTCTGGAGCCCTACCATCGCTGCTCTGCCAGCCATCTATGTTGCGGACGAGGGCCAGGCGGACATCCGTGTCGGAGCTCGCATGGTTCTCGAGGCTGAGGAGCAGGGCAGCCAGCAGCATGTCGGTCTGACCAGCATTGACCCTCCGGTGATGGTGCGCCGATTCGCCGATGTCCAGGCTGACCTTGACTTTGCAGACTGTCAGCAAGCGTATGCTTCCTGGCAGCAAGGATATCTCACAGACCAGGCAGGTGAGGACCTCAGAGGATGTCTTGCAAATGTTGCAAGCCCAGTTCGGACCGACCGAGCAGCTTGAACGCAGGGATGGCGGCAAACCTGGACAGACCAGAACGGGATGGTTTTGTTTATTTTGAGTCCGCTTATGGGCGCTGGAAGGACGGCCATGATTGTGACAGCACAGCCTTGGCTCTTGAGTGACATGGTGAAGGTTGGGCGGACCTATTCCCTTAGTAGTTCTCCAATACCCAACCTTGAAACTGTTTGGGTTCTTATAACTGAGTAGTAATCGGAAAGTTAGACTTTTTATTTCCTTGGCTTCATTGGGGATCGAATCAAGTAAGTTCTGCCATTGGCGTGCGCGGGGGCCTTGATGACATCTGGGACGAGCTCCCTCGCCACCTCAACATGGCGTCGGATGGTGGTTGGATGAATGGGTGCAATGCTGGCGAGACGGCTCTGGACACGGGAGTCGAGCTGAGTGAAAGACGACAAGGAAAGTTTGATTCTGGGGACCGGCATGCACCGGTGGGCGCTGAAGGAATCGAAGGAATGACACGCCAGAGGAGCCTGGTGGTGAGATGCAGGGCGAGTTGAACAATGTGCACGGGCGCCACGACTTGGTGGGAGACGTCCTGGCTGGGCCGAGTGCGGGTTTGACTGTTGCAGTCCATGCACTACCGGATTTTTCAGGGCAAGCCCATATGGACCATGATCAGCGTGCGACAGGATGAGCGAAGGCATAGGGTTTTGGGGGGCGCAATCGCTTTCCACGAGGTGGATTCCACCGACTGCCAAGAGCATAAGGAGGAAAAATGGGTTCAAAACAAGAGAACCTTGAACATCCCAGGAACCCCGTAACGGAAGTAACGGAACGGACCCCAACTCGTGAAAAGCTTTGAAGGAGCGCGAGGCGGCCGAGACGCAGCGCGCGCAGAACGTGGCGGAGCTCCGACGGGAGGCAGGTGACGTCTTGCGGTTTTAGGGCTTGTAGCGGGTTTCGGGGTTCAAGGATTTTTTGGCGCAAGGTTTTTGGGCTGTAAGGGTTTAGGTTTAAGAGATTAGGGTTTGAGGCCAATGTGAGCGTTTCGGATCTTGGGTTTTAAAGGGTTTCGCGGCTTGTAAGGGTGCGGGGGGATGGCAGATTGTTGCTAAATCAAGGAAGCATCAAGGATGTCTTAGGCAAATGTGTTCCCCCAAAGCTATACCTACAGCAAGTCCACCACCCTTCCAGAGCCCGTCCAGGTCGTGGCCGAAGCAGAGCGGACGAAGTCAAACCTCGCGGAGGCCTCCCGAAATCACAGCAACAGAGAGGGGCCGCAGGGTTCGGGCTTTCAGGAAAGCTCATGCCTGAGCAATCGATGTCGGAGGCATCTGGATTTCGAGTGCAGGGTTTTGAGCTCAGGTTTTTTTTGAGGATGTTTGCCTCTTGCCGATTTGTTGTTTCAGTCTTGTGTCAGGAAGGCTTTTTAGGGTTTAAGCGTGATACTTGTTTGGGCTATGAAAGCTTGCGCCCCAAATAAGGCCCTTATCCATCAACCGTCCCTAATCCGTACACTCCCCGGAAAGTCACATGGAACCGCTTCCAGCTTTTATGTTGGTGCAGGGAGGATGCCTTGTATCTTCTGGCAAAGGCCCGGAGTTCTAGTCTTTCAAGTTGGGGCCAAGGCTCTGCCCAGCAGATTCTCCCATCATCTGTGCGAGTCCTCGCAGCAGTTTCACGTTACGATGTAGTCGGTCCCGTCAAGCAGACATGGCAAGAAGAAGAAGATTTCCATCGATTCTGGCGCACGATTTAAACCGTATAAGCCCTAAGTCCGCTTCTCAGCCCGAACCCCCGAACCATGAATTCCTCAACAACCCTAAAGAACCTTTTCCCTTTCAACACTTTCCAGAAGTTCGAAATGTCAAAGAGCCCACAGCGCCCTGAACCTGACAAATCCTGCGATGTCGGACACGTGGTGGTTCAGCAAACCGGGACTACCCTCGTTAGATTTAGGGTTGAAGAACCCATGAGGGCATAGGAGGGCATAAAGCAATCAGCACTAGTATTGGTGGTAGTAGTAGTAGTCGTCGTCGTCGTCGTCGTCGTCGTAATCGTAGTCGCAGTCGTAGTCGTAGTCGTAGTCGTAGTCGTCGTAGTCGTCGTAGTAGTCGTCGTCG